AAATAGCTGAATAAATAAAAAGTAAAAAAAAATATTAGATACAAAAATATGAAAAAAAAACTAAAAATGAAGAGAAATGTAAAAAAATAAAAAATAAAGAAATATCAAAAGTATTGAAATATAATAATGTTAAATATATAAAAAATTTAGAGAATATATAGAAAATAAAAACAAAAATATAAAATAATAATAAAAATACAAGAAAATTTAAAAAAATAAAGAGAATATAAAGAAAATAAAAAATAAACAAAAAAATGAAAATATAAAAATAATAATAAAAATATAGAAATATAAGAAATATCAAAAATATCAAAAATGTAAACAAAAATATAAAGAATATAGAAAATATAAAAAATATAAAAAAATATATAAAAGATATTTAAAAATATAAAAAGATAAAAAAATATAGAAATATAAAGAAAACAATAGAAAAACTATACATTGTAAAACATATAAAATTGGAAAATATAAAAAACGTACAAAATATTTTGTTAAAAATATAGGAAATATAAAAAAGTAAACAAATACCTTAAAACTAATGTCCTCATCATCTGTGATGACAAATACAAGATCTCATTGGCTGATATTTGTTGTTCAATTTATTGAGATCCTTTATAACTTACCGCCAAGGAAAGAAAGATAACTTACCTGAGATCAAGCCTCATAATAGTCGTCTGGTTGACGAAGTCACTGGGATGGAGACTTGTGATCTCGTTCCCAGCCAGATTTAGCGTGTCTAACTGGTTGATTTTCCCGAGCGCTTCCGAAGGAACCCGAGTGAGCCTGTTATCGGCGAGGTTCAAAGTCCCCAACCTGCCGAGTCCGGCGAACACGCCCGCGTCAATGGTGCCTTTCTCTATGAAATACTTTATACCAGAGAGCCCGAGGGTAGTGATGCTGGGGATATGGGAGAACTGGCCCTGTACGAGGGACTCCAGTGGGTTGTAGGACAGATCTAGCGTCTCGAGTGGGCCAGACAAGGGAGGGATTTCAGACAGTAGGTTAGAGGACAGCATGACTTGCCCTATCCCGTTAGGTAGCGGCGAGTCCATGCGGACAAGCTTGTTGCTGTGCAGGTTAAGAAAGTTTAAACTAGAGAGGTTAGCAAACACCTGTCCCGTGATGGCGCGAAGCTGGTTATCAGAGAGGTCCAGGCGACGAAGTTTGTGTAGTCCTTCGAACGTGTTTTCGGCCAGTGCCACTATCTGATTGTTATTTATGCTTATAATTTCCGCAT